ATTCAACATACAGGTAAGTGAGACTAATAGAGTACCAAATAACTATGATGAAAAAGAATAAAAAAGCTCCCATGACACATCATAGTCAAAATTTCCAAAGTCCAAAACAAGGACAGAATCTTAAAAGCTCTTGGAGAAAGCAAAATTTCAGTTATAAAATTAAAACCATTAAGATCACAGTAGACTTTTCAATATAAACTTTAAAGGCTAGCAGACCTTGGAGTGACGTGTTTCAAGCCCTAAAAGAAAACAACTTCTAACCCAGACTAATATAACTTATAAAACTATCTTTCAAGTTGGGTGTTATGGTGCACGACTACAATCACAGCACTTGCCAGTCAGAAGCAAGAGGGTCGTGGCAAATTTTGAGGCTAATGTGGGCTACACAGTGAGTTCAGGGCCCACCTGAACTATGATGCAAGACCTTGTCTCAAAACAGTGAAACCAAAACAAAACTTTCAAAACTGATGGAAAAATAAGGACATTTCATGAGAAAGAACACCTTAGGAAATTCATAAACACCAAACCAGCACTTCAAAAATGCTCGAGTACTATAGATAGAGACAACAAAGCCAAAAAAACTAAAAAGTCAAATGAAATCAACATATTAAACAAGGCAAGTAGTTAAACAAAAAGAAAATAAAGGAGCCAACAACAGAAAAAGAATGTAATGACAGAAAGGAAAATAAGAAAAGAGTCAACAACAGAATCATCTGTGGGAAAATGGGTGCACTTGACACCATAATTGTTAAGTGAAATAAATCAGACACATAGCTTAAATACGCATGTTTCTTTTACATGAGAAAACCAATGAATATAATCATTATGCATTTCAAACATACTAATAAAAATAAAAATAGAAAAATTTTTTGACAAAATTAACACACTTTCCTGATAAAAACTCTCAACAATGTAGATCTAGGAAAAATTTACCTGAGCATAATAAATACCAACCTTATGGCTAATGTCATATTTCACGGTAAAGAGAGAGAGAGCACGTGCGCAAGAGAGGATGCTTTTCTATTATGATTGGAAATTAAAGGAAATGCCTACTCTCCTTATTTCTATTCAACACAATACTGTAAATTCTAGCCAGAAAAATTAAATGAGACAAAGAAAAGTCATTCAAATTGTAAAGAAAGCAAAATTGTACATTTTTACAGGTCTTATATGTAAAAACTCTAAAGATCCAACGAAAAATACCTGTTAGGACTAATAAATTAAGTTTGTATGGTTTAGGTCAAGAATGACCCCAAAACTCTCTGTCAGAGGCGAGGCTTTTGGACAGTGATTGAATCAAGGGAGGGCTACGGCTGACTGGCGGTCTGGAGGTGGGGTCTAGCTGGCAGTAGGTCACTGAGACATGACCTGGAAATGCCATCTTTCTTCCCAGCTGCTCCTTCTGTCCGTTTCCTGGCCACCATGATACTGGCTGCTGTCCTTTACCCAGACCCTTCCACTATGCCTTCGGAACCAGCTGACTATGACTGTAAACCTCTAAAAACCATGAGCCCAAAGAAACATCTCCTCCTTTAAATTGTGAGTGCTGAGTATTTTATCCCAGTGAGGAGAAAGTTGACTAATATAGAATTAACAGTTGCAGGACACAAGTTGTATTTCCATACACTAATTTAAAAAGCTATCTGGAAAAGGAAATTTGGTCAGCTGTCCCATTTATAATAGCATTGAAATAATAATAAAATACTTAACATACAAAGGAAGTCAATGACTTACAAAATGAATACTAAAACATTAATGAAAGAAATGAAAGAAACAAACAAATGCAAAGATGTCTTGTATTCATGGATTAGAATACTTACTACTGTTAAATATACATACTATTCAAAGTGCTTCATAGGTCCAACACAATCTCTATCAAAATCTCAATGGCATTTCTATAAAAATAGGAAAAAATTCTAAAATTAATTTAAAACCACAAAAGATTCGAAAAACCAAAACAAATTTGAAAAGAACAAAAAACTGGAAGCATCCCTCTTTCTGACTTCAAAAATATAACTAAGCTTTGGTAATTAAAAAGTGTACGGTATTGGCATGAAGACAGACATACAGACCAGTGGAATAGAATAGCCAGTATCTATCTATCTATCCATCTATCTATCTATCTATCTATCTATCTATCTATCTATCTATCAGGGAAAAGGTTAGTCTTCTTAGTTGCATATAGTAGCTGTTGGATGAATTTTCCTTGCTCTCTCTCTCTCTCTATATATATGTGTGTGTGTGTGTGTGTGTGTGTGTGTGTGTGTGTGTATACATATATACACATATATACATATACATATATATACATACATACATACATATATATATATATATACATATATACACACACACATATATTTATGTATATATATCTTCAGCAAAATTGCCAAGATTATGGGATAAGGAAGGGACAATCTTATCAACAAATCAGTCAATCATGCTAAGAAAATTGGATGTCTAAATGCAAGAGAATGAGGTTGAAACTCATTAATTTGTACAATAATTTGTGTTAATAATTATGATTCAGTAATTTATTTTGGCATAAATATAGACAACTAGATCAAAGGGGAAAAAATGGAGAATATGGAAACAGGCCCACACCTCTAGTGAAAACTGTTGTCTGACAAAAGCAAAGGTATTAAATGTGGAAATAACAGTTTTTTTAATATAGTGCTAAAATTACTGGACAAACACAGAGAAAAAAAACAAAAAGATCTTCAATCCATATAATGCATTATATACAATAATTGATTAATATGGTATTTTTTGTATAGTTCTATACAGCTTGTTTATAGAATCTCACTGTCTTTGTACAGTATACATTGTTTAAACAGTTCTGTAGTGTTTGCTGGTTGTACCAAACAGTACAGTACAATGCTCTGTTTTACGTTCTGTTATACATACAGCAATTCATGTAAGAGTTATGCAAATAAAAGCAAACTCATCACATTGGCGTTTCCTTTGACCATTTCTTTGTTCTGAATATTGTAATATCCTATATACAATTCCTCATTTAGTGACCAATGCAATTAATGACCTCATTAAAGGAATTAAACTCAGTCATTAAACAAGGAATGTTTGTATTCCTCACCTAAGTATTCACTCAAGAGTAATGAACATCATGATCCTGCAAAGACTTATACACCAGTGTTAACAAAAATTTTTAAATTTTATTTATAATAGCCCCAAATTGAAAACAAATGTTCACTGATGGAAAGACAATTTATAGTGTATACATAAGAGCACTTCATAGCAATACAAAGGAATCAGCTATTAATGCATACAATGTATATAAATTTCAAGATTAATAAAATGAATGCAATAAGTCACATAGAGTATATATTTTATGATTGTACTTATGTGAAATTCTAAAATATAAAAATAGCCTTTGGCTTCAGAAAACAGATCAATAGTTACCTATATAGAACGGGAGACAGGGAGGGTAAGACTACAAAAAAGTATGAGGAATTTTAGGGATGATAAGTATGTTTACTACCTTGATTGTGGTGATGGGTTCATAGGAATATATATCAGAACTTTTCAAACCGGGTATCTGCAGTTTATCATCTATCAATGTTAATAAAGCTATTAAAATTCTTGGCTTGTATAGTGGGGTTCAGCTGTATACCAAAAATTTTTTTTATTTAATGATTGTGGTGATTCCCATCATACAATAAATACTCAATACAGAGTAGCTTTAACTACCCTCCTTGAAGATTAAACTGAAAGGTAAAAAATACAGCTTTTTTTCCCCTTATGGGTATTAAGAAAGACCTTAATCTGAAGTAGTCAAAAGGTAGAATTATATTTTAAAAATATGAAATTTAAACTATTATATGCAAAAGCCTACCAAAAGGTATAACGTGTGTGTGTGCACAAGCATGTGTGCTAGATTGCGATGCACTATAATTTTATAATGTCTTGATCTATTAATAAGACATATCCAATGAAACAAATCTCATTTTTGTCTTCTAATATATCAAGGTAGATATTAAATTGTATATTTATAATTCTATAAATATATAAGCAAGCCAAAAATGACTGGACCAGAATAGACAGTTGAAGAAAAGCTAAAATTCTCAGGATTTTAATGGAATATTTTTTTATTCTCTAAACTTAGAAAAAATAGTGAATATATTTATACAAAAATCCAATATTTTACTTAAAATGATTTACCATTAATATGTCTAATCACTGAAAATTCCGTACTAACATTTTCCTTCAACAGCGCTTTCTTTCAAAGTGCAACACACAATGACAAGTATCCTTTATCTCTGCTTCCTTCTTTCCATGCTAGAAAAGATACATTGGCACTTGTCAACAAGATGAAATCTGAATGGTTGTGGATTCTTTGCTATTCTTTCTTTGCTGAAATATCCTGCATTTTCTTGATGTCTAATATAGAAACCAGAGGAGCCTGATTACATAGAGGGTGGATATTCTGTAGTTAGATGCAAAAGCTATACTTAAATATCTCCTGGAAGAGGAATTAGACTTGTTTTGTATGACCCTAAACCAGGGCTGTTGGGTAAAAGCTACAGAAAATTATTTTATAATAAGCAAAATATCAGTGGAATGTGTTGACTTAATCAGGATTGACTATTCCATGTCAACAAGTGGTGGTGAACCTATGGTATGCATTGCAAGTGGGCTGTTTGTATCATTGAAAGCTCTAAAAAGTTCATCACTGCTGGTATGATTAGAAGGAAGAATTCAAACTGCTGTTTTCAACTGTACCTATGATGACATAGTCTATATAGATAAAAATTAAAATATTAGTATTTTAACACAAATAAGCCTTAAAAGTAATTCTAGAAGATTTAAAAAATTTAGCCAAGCTAAAAATATATCTATAGAGTATCATCAGTCAATATCAGTTTTTCATTTCTGTCAGGATGGGAGCTAGGTTCTTTGACAATATTATTGTTAGGCATTAAGATATTTAAGGTAAAGAAGATTCATTGTTTTTTTGTTTGTTTGTTTGTTTGTTTGTGTAGGTCTGTTTTTGCAGTGTTGGAGATCAAACCCAGGATCCCACATATGCCAGGTGATTCCTCTACCATACTCTAAGCCCCAAGATTCATGTACGGATGATGCTGTTTGTTCTAGTAATTTACCTAAGTGTATGCCTTTTAAAAGCAGTTGTTCTCTACTGAAGGTGTGTACACGTGCACACACACACACAGATGCACACACAGATGTACAGGGACACTCACAATGGCTCTGAGTACCTTACTAAGTGCAGATTCCCTCATCACTGTATGCTCTTCTCCCTCTGCATTTCTCATTTGATATATTTTTATGGACTCCAAGCATTTGATTTTTAACAAATATTCTAAGTAACTTGTATTGTAAATGGTTAAGAAACTCTACTTGGAGAAACACAAAGAGGAGCACAGAAAAGATCAACTTCTGAATTTAGGGAAATGCTATAGAATTTTATGTGCACATGAATTCCATCCTTTACAAAACAAGGACTGACATATTCTGTTTTTTCTTCTATCTCAGGGCCAAAAGCCAAAATGAAATTTATGGTACTTGTCACTGTTGGGTTAACTTTGCTGCTAGAAGTCCATGCCATGCCTTCAAATCGCCTGTCTTGCTACAGAAAGATCCTAAAAGATCGTAACTGTCACAACCTTCCAGAGGGAGTAGCTGGCCTGTCACAGGTTGATGTAAATGTCCCGTTTCACTTCTGGGATAGGAAGGCGTGTGAGATGATCTGTTACTGCAATTTCAGTGAATTGCTTTGTTGCCCAAGGTAAGGAAATGAAGTCATAAAATGAGTTGCAAAGAAACATATGCAGAATAAGTCTTTTAAAGACATCCCCCTCAAAATGTGTTTGCTGAAACTATCTTTTTCAGTAAATCCTGTCCAAATCCCAGCTGTTTTGTAGACCCACCACTATGTGAGGAACTGAATATTTTTGTTTAAAAAATGGAACTTGGCAATTTAATAAAACTAAATGAGAATCAGAAAAATGTTAACATATCAACCTACAAAATTCTAAATTCTCAGCTGGGTGTGGTGGCGCACCCCTGTATTCCCAGCACCTGGGAGGTTGAGGCAGGAGGATCACTGTGAGTTCGAGTTCAGCCTGGGCTACATAGTGAGTTCCAGGTCAGTCTCAGCTACATAGTGAGACCGTCTCAAAAAAACAAGAATGAAAAATTTCTAAATTCTCATCTGATTTTTATTATTCACTATTAAAAGACCTACTGGGGCTGGTTATGGTGGCATAGTCTGTAAACCCAGCACTCTAGGTAGCTGAGACAGGAGGATTGCAAGTTCAAAATCAGACTGGGCACCTTAAGGGAAACTCTGTCTCAAAATTGAAAAATGTTCATAGCAAAATAGTTTGTAATAGCTGCAATTTGGAAACAGTCCAATTGCTCATCAACTGACTACCAAATAAAGATTTTTTTAACAAAATGGAGCACTATTCAGCCATAAAGAATGAGAAACTAGAGACATTTATGGCTAAATGGATAGACATCATGGCTAATGGATAGACCATACTCAAGTGAAATAAAGAGTACACTTATGCATAAATAACGAATAGTTTCTCTGGTGTGAGAAAATGAAAGTATAAATAAGAATCAAAATGTATAATAGATAATGTGAAATAGGAAAAAGGGCCCAAAGGGGAAAAGGAAGTAGGAAGAGTAGGGGAAAGGAAAGAAGGGAAAGGAATAAACATAAGGAAAGAAAAAAATGGAAACAAAGTCTTTGTAAATAGCGAGGGGTGGAGGCATTAAAGGCAGGGCAGGGGAATAGGGAAAAAGAAGAACCAAGGTATATCATGTAAAGGTATAGATTCCCAAAGACGAATATCAGCATATTGTATACCCAAAATGTATCAATGAAATTAATGAATTAAAAATGGAGCTGCTAAAAAAAAGAAAAAAAAAGGTTCAGGATGCTCAAATATGAAGGCTCTGGTTTCAATGCTCAGTACCAGGAAAAAAAAAATCTATTGGTAGCAGAAATGAATCTCAAGGTTGCCATCTTACACCAATCTAAAAATTAAGGTTTTATATGACAGATGGTAGAGTGCTAGGGAACAGTAGGTATCAAGTGGTTAACCAGACAGAAAAGTTGAATGATGGTCAAACAAAAATTTCTGAGTTCCATGTATGAGTTAGCCAGAAATGAACTAAATAAAAGTTCCAATTAAACTACATTTTAAAAAGTAGATATATCCTAAGTATAAAACAATGATATAAGATAAACCAACAAATACATTTAGCTCTTCATTCTAAAATAATCTTCCCTAGGAAGATTGAGGAATCTTTCAAATCCTGTGATCTTGGATATTTCATACTGAAATTAACTTTTTTCAAATTACTTTCAATATGTACCATTTTATTTCCTACCTATAAGGCAGGAAAGGCAGATATAACTGCCTTACTAAGGGAAGGTACAGAGACTTGAAAGTAACTGGTATTTCACATAATTGGATAACATCAACACTCAGTCTAGCACCCAGGTGTTCAAACTTGAACCAGATTTGTTTACTACTAAGCCAGTTGTTTTTCAAAATGAGGTTCCCAGAATATCCACTTCAACATTACCTGACTTCCTTTAAAAATGTACATCTGATCTTGGTCCCCCATCCATACTCCCTAGAAAATTTGGAGGTGGGACCCAGCAAATAGGTTTTAACAAACCCTCCAGGTCATTTCGATGAATAACAAAGTTTGAAAATAATTTTACTAAATTATACCCAATAACTTGAGTTAATTAATCCCATGAAATGACTTACCTTTTCCTGTGCTACATAAATGAAAAGTCAACTAGTATGAAAATACAGTGTTCTCTTTTTCTTGTATTACTTGAAACCAATTTTCTGAAATGGACTTGCATTTGGTTTATGATTTGATTTTGTCATTACTTATGTTTGTGGATTTGAACAGGAGTGTAGCCATATAGAAATAATTTCTTTGATTTTCAAATACCATTTTCGAGTAGCAAGAGATTTACTTTGCCAAGTAATTTTCTAATAAGCATAGTCATGACACTACCTTGCACCTAGGTACAATTTATATAATTCTTCTATTTTATACATTACCTTATGTGATCTTTTATAACTAGAAGAGGATCAAGTAATTGTTTCATTTTTCTGTCTCTATAAAACCTAGAAATTCAATGATCCTTTAAACTTTGTTTCTTCCCTGTGGATCTGAAAGTCCATGACCCATTCTGAGAGCAGAAAAATGAAATTTTATATATAAAGTATTGAAATTACCCTACTTTCCATTTTTTTTTTAAAGAAACAAATGATAGTATATCAGTGACAACTGGAGGGAAAGTAGAAGAATCAATTACCTTCTTGATCTTTGTTGCTCCTGTGTCAAGTCCTCCCACACATCTCTTTGTACTTTATTCCCCTAAAAAGAATAGTTATATATATCTGAAATTCTAGGAATGACTGTCCATTTTTAACTAATATTAAAGGACTAATATATATCTTAGCTTTCAGCTGAATTTAACTGACATTCTACTTTCTTTCAGAGACGTCTTCTTTGGACCAAAGATCTCTTTTGTGATTCCTTGCAGCAATCATTGAGAATCTTCATGTATTCCACAGAACACCATCTTAATTTCTCACACATTATATCAGTGTTATTACATTTCTGGTTTCTATCCAGTGCGATAAAACACAGATTCAATAAAGTCTTACTTGTCTAGGACAAGTAAACCTGCATTAAACAAGTAGTAATAAAAGTTAATTCAATTTAATTTTTCTCTATGGGTATTATTAGCATTGCTTAAAAAATCTGCCTAGAGAATTTTCATTTATGAGGTATTAATTACACACAATAAAATAATTCTATCCCCTCAGATGGACAGCTACAACCCAGACTCAAACATTGGAACATGTTTGTTTGTTAGGGGACAGTTTTTGTCTATGTAAATTTAATGGGAAAAGTCAGGTATAAATTAAATTTCTTGGAAGGAAAACTGGAAGTTTTCTAGTAAGGAAGAAAAGACAATATTTAAAGAAAAGACTAATAATTAAATGTATATTACGTATGCCAAGTACTTTAAGTAAATTTTCACTTTGCTGTTAGCTAAATCTTGGAAGTATCCTATATGTCCATTAACAGATAAATGGATGTAAAAAATGTAGTATTTACAGAAAGATAAACTTGAGTCTTTTGTAAGAAAATGGACGTACCTTACAATCACATGTTAAGACCATAATGTTAAGTTAAATAAATCAGACACATAAGCTTCAATATCGCATTGTTTCTCTTATATGAGAAACCCAAGTTATAAATAAATACCAAAATAAAGGATAGCTAGTAGGAAGTAGGTAGACAGATTTCAAATGGGAAAAGAATCAAGAGATGGAGGGAAGGGAGAAAAAGGAGAGGCAAAAGGGATGAAAAAGTGAATTAAGATGTGGTATGCACATGTACCAACTCCACACAAGGAATGTAAACCTTATGTACTATGAACATGAACTAATTAAAAAAAAAAAACCTTTGAGACAATTTCTTAGCTTTATTTTTCAGGTGCTAACTCATGTTTAAGATATTAGGTAAAAATAAGGCAGAATTTGAAGAGTTCAACTTTCTAAGTTTATATATTACAGTTGTGTCCTTAAAAACCATGATACATAACTCAGAAGTATTGGGGTTTTTCTTTTCTTTTTTTTTGAGAACAGCAATATATTGAGACAAATAATTGCTAAGAACTTAAAAGTCACATAAATTTTTAAAGTAAATAAAAAGAAAAAAAAAGTAAATAAAGCAGGTCATCTCAAAGATAGTTTCTAATTTTTAGAAGAAATGGGTTTAGACTATGCCTCCATATCTTTGGTGTGTATTGACTCATAGTGGCCAGCAGGGTAATTTCAGAAAGTCTGTCATGTTATAAAAATATATTACATGCTTGCTAAGTGCCAGCCATTATTAACATTTTAGGATATTGTAATGAGTGATATACATTTGTACTGTTGGAATTTGTGTTATAACAAAGCTGTAATCATTATAAACAAATGATTATGTGACGCCTGCTCTGAAGAGATACAGGGTAACATACAAAATATTGCGGGAAAAGTTTGAGAAACACTACTACACCATGTAGACAAACTAAAAGTTACACTATTTTACTGAAGTACCCTTTGAAAGTTCCTGATGTGTTTCTGAAGACCTAATTAGTGCAGTATCTGGTATGCATTCAGTGTTCAGCAAGTGTTATTGAGCTGGGCCAAACAATTTTGAGGTAATCACAATTCAGTTTCTCTTAAAGTCTTCATGAATACAAGTCAGAATGTTTTCAAATACTATAACCTCCTACAAAATGTATAAAGAAATTGAATTGTAAAACAAAATCAAATTACTAGTATCAAGATAGCATGCAATTTGATTGGCCTTTTTTCACCGAAGTAACTGGTAATAAACTCAGATTAACTAATAAGGAAAGTATTACATCCATTGAGGAACACTGCACAGAATAAATAAATACATAAAGAAAACCATCAGTAAACCTGTTTCATGTTCTTATCTCTCCAAGGGGGAAAAAGTGTTAATGATCCAATACTATTATTTATAAATGACACATTAGCATGAGGGTACATATGAGACAATGATAGCTTTTTAATAAGTGTTTCTATACTACTTGCAATCCAAACTTGATAAAAATACTATTTGAAAAAAGCTAAGTATTTAATAGATGAATTATGTAGACTACAGATTCTTCATCATATTTTTTTCCTAGCTGGGCATAACTGGAATATGAAATTCAATTACATTCTCTTAGAAAGGGATGCATTGTAAAAAGTGAAAGATTTATATGATCTGAAGAGAAACCAGAGTATAAGGAATGTATTGTAGAAGTACACATAATTCTCTACATCGCCAAGTAGATGTAAAAATATGAATGTTTGCTTGACTTACCTTAAGCAACTTTTGGGACCAGGAAAACAGGCTTTTAAAATCAAAATTTAATTTAATCCTATAAAAGAATAGATCTTTTATTTTTCCAATAGATTTGTTATAAAAAGACAACTAAGCTTTTATTAAAAATTTACTATTATTGCACTGTCATGCAATAACTGAATTAAGTAGATACTCTCTATATCCTTGCCTTATGGGCAAAAATGCCAGTTTAGAAAAATTAGGTAGCTTGTCTAAGGTATTACCATCAATAAAGTAGCAGAGCCAGTCTTACTCTAGCATCTAGTCTCAACTGCTACACTACCAGCATAATCTAATCTATTTCTCTTGTGGGAAAGCAATTTCTGAATAGTACACACATATTATACTTTTCAGATAGCTCATATGCACTACATACTTTCTGAATAATTTCTATATTTTTATTTTTCACTTTCTATGCCTTGTTCTTATTGTAAATCCTATGTCACTGAGTACAATGACAGTAACACAAATAAGTCATCTCTTCTTAGTAAAACTCTACTTATATCCATAGGGACTCCTTGAATATTTTTTTTTTCTGGGATTAGGTTAAAGATTATTAGAGAGTTGGAAGCATCATGAAAAACCAAAGAATGAGCAAAGTATTGATGCAAGGGATGGAAAAATAGGAACATTAATGCATCATTTTATAAATTTCTTATAATTCTAATAAATACACACACATTCCTTGCATAATTTTTTTGCGGGGGAGATAGAACTCTGGTCCTTGTGCTTGCAAGGCATGCACGAGAACCACTGAGCTAACTCCCTGGCCCTCTTGCACAATTTTTTAAAGGGAACAAAACACCACTGCTACTCAACATTGTAATAGTTGGAGCCGTAGCAATTGGACAATAAAAAATAAATAAAAGTCATCCAGATTTGGAAGAAAGAAGTAAAACTATATTTATTTACGTATAATTCTATAGACAGCAAAATCCCATGAAATCCACAAAAAAAACTACAAGAGCTAATAAACAAATTCAGCACAATTTCAGAGTCAATGTACAAAATCAGATGTTTCTACACTAATGAAAAATCCAGAAAACAAATTAAGAAAATTCCATTTTTAATAGCTGGAAACTACAGAACACTGGAGAAAGAAATTAAAGATCTAGATAAATGGAAGGACATCCCATAGTCACACATTGGAACAATGAATACTGTTAAAATGGTGGTCTTAAAGCAGTGCACATATCCAATGCAATCCTATCAAATGACTTTTTGGTCAAAAATGGAAAATCCAATCCTCAAGTTTACCTGGAACTGCAAGGAACCCTGAATAGCCAAAACAATATTGAAAAGTAAAACAAATGAAGACTCAAAATTTATAACAGGACTACCAAGTAGAGCACTACACATCTGTAATCCCAGGTACTGGGGAGGCTGAGGAAGGAGGACTGCAGGTTCAAGCCTGGACAACTTAGTAAGGCCTTGTCTCAAAATAGAAGAAAAAGTTCGTGGGATATAGTTCAGTGATATAGTGCTTACCTAGCACACATGGAAGCCCTGGATTTGATCACTACTGGGAAAAAAAAAAAAAAAAAAAAGACAGACCAAAAGTACAGAAAGAAACTCCAACATCTATACTCAAAAGGTTTTTCAACTGGGATATGAAGACCATGCAGTGAGGAAAGAATGAGACCTTAAAAAAGTGATGTTGGGACAACTGGATAACTATATGCAAAGGGATGAAGTTGGACTCCTAGCCAATACGAAAATTACAGCTCAGCGGTCAACAATCTAAATACTGTATAGTAACAGAAACTATAAAGCATCTGAAGAAAACATAGGCATTAATAATGCTGGTGGATTTGACAATGAATTCTTAGGTTTAATGCCAAAAGTAGAGCAACAAAAGAAAAACTAAATTGAACTAAATAAAAATTAAAAACTTTTGCCCATCAAAATGAAATATTTGCAAATCAGAATGAAATACTTGCAAATCATACATCTCATAAGGGTTTAATATATTGAAAAAAGACATCTTACAACTCAAGATCAAAGAGACAACCCAATTTAAAAATAGAGTACTCGATACAAGTGCCCACCAAGCACACGAAAAGATGTTCAACAGTATGGTTATGGATATACAAATCAAAACTACAATGAGTACTGATTCATATTTTATTATTATGATTTGTTTTGGTACCGGGGATCAAACTCAGGACCTCACACTTGCCAGGTAGGGGCTGTTCCACTGAGCTACATCCCCGGCCCCATGGTTTAATTTTGAAAAGAGGAAATACAAGTCTAATCAAATTGGAGGCAGAGTAGCCCTCAGACATAGATGATGGGAATGTAAAATAGTTCAGCCACTTGGAAAAGTCTGGAAGTTTCTCAAAAGTTAAATACAGAATTATCATATGACAACAATTCTACTGCTAGATTTAAACCCAAGAGAAATGAAAATGTTCAGGAAAACTGAACATAAATATTAATAGAAGCATTATTAATAATAATCAGATGTAGAAATTCAGTGTTAATCAGTAAAAGAATGGATAAGCAAATTATCAATGTATAGATACAATGGAAATACTGATATATGCTGTAACTTAAATTAACTGTAAAAACATGCTAAGCAAAAGGAGCTAGACACAAAAGGACATATATTGTATGTATTCTTTAATTTCCTTTATATAGCTTATAATAGACAAATCTATGGAAACAAAGAGCAGAGTAACAGGTTACCATGACTATTTTGGGGGAAAGTGAAAAGTTTTGAAGTTAGGGTTGATGATACACAACATTATGAATACACTAAACACCATCAAATTATACACTTTGATTCTGCATTATGTAAATTCTTTCTAAAAAATCTTATGTTGAAATGAGTTCTTTTTAAAAGAAACAAACTTAAGCCATGTATTTTTAATTTCTCCTCAACAGTTCTTTTGAAATTAGTTATCATATAACTGACTTAATTTTTTTTAGCCCCTAACACATTCAGGATACTTTCTTCCGCTTACTCCGGTGGCAATCCAATTTGGATTGTTCTCTTTATACTGGAACACTAAAAGTAACCTATGCCCTTACAGAGATTAGTTTTCACTCATTTTTATGTTCTGATATAGGTAAGTAAAAAGGTTTCTAGTTAATTTCTTTGAATAACCACCTTCTGGAATTTATTTTTTTATACAACCATGCTTTATTATGCAAATAAGTATATGAAACTAATGCTGTTAAAGGTAATGCTGAACAGTTTAATGCATACAAGTAATTTTAAGCTTTTTCCACAAGCATTTTTATAGGCAAAATAAACCTACAAATTTTTATTAAAAATTAAATCTATGTTAGGCAAAAATATAAAATGTGGCCAGATGTGGTGGTGCATTGTAGTTCATTACTTAGGTTGCTGAGACAGGTGGATATCAAGTTTGAGCCCAACTTGGCAATTTAGCAAGATCTCTCATAAGACAATTAAAAAGATGAAAAATGGCTGAGGCTGTAACCCTATCTATCTAGTGTGTGTAAGTAAAACTTTCTTGAAAAAATCACATTTTATAGCCATGTGGTTCCTTTCCAAGCAGTTAAGAAAAAACTTGTCACAGAGATTTCTAGAATACTAGAAATGAGGTTTCTATAATACCAATTATCACAGCTTTCTGCAAATCAATAAAACATACATCTTTAAATGGTCAAGCAAGAACAGACAAGCTGCTTTACTGTGCACCGTATTTCCTAGATGTTTCTACAACATAGCAAACCTCCCACAACAAAGAATTACTAGGTCCAAATGTTATCCTTCACAAACCTTGAGCTAGATTAATGGTCTCATCCATGTCCAGCCTAATATTTGCAACTAAAGTCAAAACATTTTACTAGAGCTGTTGCTTTTTGTGTGTGTCATAAGGTATAAATCTGATTTATAATTTGAAGAATTTAGCTAAGCAATACAATCTCAGAGAAGGGAGAGGTTAAAAATGACAAAAAAACAAAAAATAAAACTGATAGAGAATGAAGCAAAAGGAAGTATACCAGCACTCTGCGAGGCTGAGGCAGGAGAATCACAAGTTTGAGCAAAGCCTGGGAAACTTAACAAGGTTGGATATCGATGTCAAAAAAAAAAAAACAATTCAAAAAAGGGCCGGGGATGTAGCTCAGTGCAAAGGCCCTGGGTTCAATCTCCAGGAATGAGAGAGAGAGAGAGGGCGGTGGGGGGGAGAGAGGGAGAGAGAAAATAGAAGAGGAGGAGGAGGAGGAGGAAGAAAAAGAAAAAAACAGAAGTATAAATCAAGACAGAAGAGCTTGTTAGATATCTAGCACTCTCAAAGTTCAGTTTTTATTTGCAGTACAAACATAGAACATAACCGAAAATTAAAGAGGCACTGCAGAGCTATTTTCTATTCTCATGTCATACAAATATCTTTTCAGGAAGACAAAAATCTTAAGAAGCAACTATTTATGTTCTTATTTCAACTTTCAGCATTTACCTTCGCTAGCACATTAAGACTTCTCTGGAAAGAGGTGGTCATATAAACTATTTCTGCTGATACTTCATCAAGTAACAATGACAACGAAGAGAAATTTTAAAAGTTGTATCCAGTGGAAGTCTATTTTTCAAATCTAACACTATAAAGCATTTAAAAAATAATGTTATTTAGGATAGCCTTAATTCCAAATCAGATTGTACCCAAGAAAGCCAATGTGTTACATTTGTTATTTCTCCTTAATTTTTAAAAGATGGGTTAAAAAATGAAGATCTTTACATTAAAATCTCAATTAATACTGATTCCTAAAAAGTCAGTTGAAAAGAAAATATCAAATTTCACAAAATAAATACACTGAAGCAACTATAATAGTAATAGCCTTTATTTAAAATATTTTTCATCTAGGAAGCTCATTGTATATGAGTTTCCAACTAATTATTCGTCAGAAACAATGAAAATAAAACCAGAGTAAATTCTCCTTAGAAAAAATACACAAGAAACATTTCTACATGTGAAAACCAGTAAACAGTCTTAACATCTGAACGCCCAAGTATCACCCTAGTGAACACCACTATCGACCTTGAGGTCTGACTTGCTCTTGTCATTCTTCACTGAGTAGATGAAATAAGTTAAGGTGTCTTTTTCGTTCACTGGAATAGACCTAAAGTGGCAACCCACTATCTATAAAGAAAAAACATTGAGGAAATTAAATTTCAGATATAACAGACCTCATAAACTAGGTAAAAGATACTGTTTAACTAAAAGTGCTACATGGTAAGAAATTTTTCATATAAATTAAATTTTATTTATTTAACAAAATTAACAAAACACCAACAGGACAAAAAACCACGTAAGAATAAAAGATGTTTTGAATAAAAGAGAGTTTAATTTCAAAGTATCCTTTGGCCCACTCAATTAAATATACATTGATTAGATATATTTCTGCTTTTAAATTTTATAGTTGGATCTAGATTACAAAGCAAATATTTTTATTTTTAAGCTTTTAATACCAATCAGCTAAAACAGAAGGGTCCACATGTATAATATTAGGAATAATAAATATGAAGTTGAAAATATTTTGATATTGACAGTATTTGTTTGTAAAGGCTCCTCAAATTTTTTTCAGAAAAATTATGTTTGTTTCTTTGGTTTTTTTTGGAGACAGGGTCTCACTGTGTAGTTAAGACTGACCTGGAACTCACTATGTAGCCCAGGCTGGTCTCGAATTCCTGCCTCAGTCTCCCGAGTGCTGGGATTACAGGTGTGCACCACCACACCCGGCTCAGAAAAATTATGAATGGAAAATGAAAAGAGAAGGACAGTAAAGTTCACTGAAGACCATGGGACTATTTAATTGCTTCCTTATCTTTTTAATTTTTTTTTTTTTTTTTTGGTACTACAGATTGAACCTAGGGCCTTCCCACTGAGCTATGCCCCAGCCTTTCTTTTTTTTTTTCTCTTTTTCTGAGACAGTCTTGCCAAGTAGCTAGATTGTCCAGGCTTGGCTGGACACTCCCAGAGTACAGGGATTACCAGTGTGTACCACTATGCCCAGCTGCTTGTCTTTTCATTTTGCTAATTTAACATGGGCACTCCAATTACAAACAGAAGAATAAGAGTAAACCGGGGTGCTGATGTGCATATACAGTCTATATTTATTAAAAAAAAGAAAAAGAAAGTGCTATAGAAGCTGGTTATGCCAGTGCACACCTGTAAGCCCAGCCTTCTGTGAAGGCAGGAGGATGACAAATTTGGTAACTTAGTGATTTAGTGAGACCTTGTCTCAAACTTTAAAAACAAAAAATTTAAAAAGGATTGTAAATGTAGCTCAGTGTGAAGATTCTAGGTAAAATCCCTCATAATGCAAAGAAAGAAAAAGGTTGCGGATAATATAATGGTTTTCAGAAAGTCAGATTATGTAACATTTATAAGTAATCAGTTCTTTGATTCTCATTTGTTGGAGAGCAAAGATGAGTTCACTCAAGTAGTGCCTGATGCATTTCATCACGGTAGGCAATATCTACATATTCACATGGTGTACAACCCAAAAAGGACTTTTAAATCAAAAGGTCTTTAAATTAAAAGGTCTTTTAAATTAAAAAAATTTTAAAAAATTGTATTTTTGTTACCTCAGCAAGAAATGGAAAAGGAATTCTGGTTGAAGAATATATTGGGTTTTACCAATGTTAAGGAACATTCTGCCAAAAATTTAGATCTTATTTATGTTTGATTTTTTGCTTTTTGGACTCACCATGTAGTTCAAGTCAGTCCTGGACTTGCTACGTAACACTGGCTGGTCTCAAACTTGTGATCCTCTTGCCTCAGCTTCCTGAGTGCTGGGATTACAGGTGTGTACCAACTCACCAGCTATCTTTTATCTTATTTTATATGCACATTTTTGAAGAATGAGAAAACTGATTTATATATTCACATTTCTATTCTGTATAGTAAGTTAAAAACTTTTAAGTATGTATGATTAAAATACATAAATCTTTAAATAGCCTAATAACATGTAGAGATTTTTTTGGTTCTTTTACTTCCTAAGAACACAAATACACATAAAAAGTTAAGTTTTCAAAACTTACCAAAGTACCACAAGTGTTAATCAAAGCAGAATAAAAGTAAAAAAGCTTACATATGAAAATAATTTTTAGGGGCTCATTTATAGACCTATTCTAGCAGAAACTTAAAAAAAAATTCTAATAAAGACTTTAAATCTAATTTATTAAGTCAATTAAATGTTCAATAAATATTTACTGGTGTAAATTCAACATTTTGAAAACGATTCTTAGAAGATGCTGTATACAATTTAACTATAATCCATCCATTAGTAGTCATTATATAAAGAAATTTCCTAAGTGGTAGACAAATTGTTTTTAGGCAACTAGATTCTGTAACAGATTTCTTTTCCTTTCTTTTCTCTCCTTCTTTCCCTCCCTCCTTCCCTCCCTTCCTTCCATCTTGTGTGTACTGGGGATTGAGCTCAAGGCCTACATCCCCAGCCCTTTTTTATTTTGAAACAGAGTCTCAGTAATTCACTACTGTCCAGTTTGGGCTCACACTTGTCATCTTCCTACCTCAGCCTCCCACAAGGCTGGAACTATAGGTATATGCACTCTTACCTTTTTAACTAACAGGTACTGTTAGATATAGTAATAGTTTACAATAAATACTTTTATTAGTATTTAATAATCCCTTGTTTGTATGAACAAGTTCATTTAAATTTTAAATAGCTTAAAACTCATATTTACCTCAACAAGTTGGGCTTTATTAAGTCCTGGTCTGGTTGGTAGCTTGAAGTGTCTTTTGTATCTTCTAAGTGTATTTACTTGTAACTGGTATAAATCAACCTAGAAAAAATTAACATGTATGAATTAGTTCACCTAATTTGTTGAAAATTTGTCACTAATATGTATAACACCAAACATTTCAACTTCATCAAAATAAAAATTTAATTTCATTGTTTAAAAAGCCTTATATAATCAAACCTATAAATTATTAAACATTTTAATTTTTGTGGGCAATTATAAACTGAAAGCAAAAACAAAGAACTTACATGTATATGACACCAAACCTATAAGAACTCAAATTCTCAAAATTGAAACTGTACATGATTCTTTTTTTTTTTTTTTTTTGAGACAGGGTCCTTGAAATCACTATGTAGCCCAGGCTGGCCTCAAATTTAGGGCAATCCTTCTGCCTCAGCCTCCTGAGTGCTGGGATTACAGCCTTTGCCAAGGCACCCAGCATCACAATTCAAACTGTAACATTCAAATTGCATGAATATAACAACTGAACTTGTGTAAATGGATATTAACTGACTATATATAAATTTGCTTTCATTTTTAGATTTCTCAGATGCTTTAAACATTAAAAAAATCTGTTGATATCTCTTTATGATAGTTTCAAATGGAAAATTTATGATTTACATTTAACACAGAGAAGCTTTCATCTACCTCTGGAGAATCAATATCTTGAACGGGTGAGTCACCTCCATCGTCATCACTCCCTTTTCTCTTTCTTCTGTTTCGAACACTTTGAATTAAGTTTTTATGATAATCACAAATGTAAAGATGCCTTGCCTGAAACAGAAAAGTTTTACAGACTGCTCATGAAATGTGTCTATACTTACTTGTAAAATGCATAGGTCACAATGAGTTACTAAAAATACAGTCAAAGCGGGTCATTGTTAATACAACGGCATATTTCTTTCTACTCAAATACTGTACCCTGTTAAAAACGTGAGATTGGGCTGGGAATTTAAGTTCAGTGGTTCCGCCACCTGCCTTACAAGCGCTAGGACCAGAGTAAGATCCCCAGTACGGGGAAAAAAAAAAAAGTGAGATGTCTGGCAGTGCAGTTAGGAGGACAGGGTGGGCGGGGCTCTAGAGGAAGGGGTGGTACCTGTTAGGGGAGGGACCAAAGGAGGAAAAAGGAATTCCAGTCCTCTGGGTTTTGTCATTAAATGGCAGTGAGGGTGACCTGGACTAGTTCATGCTACGTTTTTACCTGACAAGAAAAAGATAATGTTGCCCACAATTTTGCTATTTCATAGTATTTTCTCTAAAGAAATGTTTTAGAAAGCGTATTTTAGTACTGTATGCTAATTCAATAGTCAAATATATCCCTGATACAAATTATCCCCTTTTACAAATGATCTACACTGAATTTATATCTTAACTATATTTAAATTTCAGTTACTAACTTTGCTAAGTACTAAGTGAATGTATTTATCCATAATGTTTTTCCAATTAAAGCAATCTGAAATTATTCACGTTCACATGAAAAGTTTCTCATGAGCAACACCGAAGAACTGCTTAAACAAAGTGTCACAAATAAATTTTTAAAAGCCTTTACATATACTCCCCAGAGCTTTATATTGACATTAAATGTTGGGTTTCATACATCGACAGTTAACTCCTTTAAAAAATATGAAGGCTGGCCTAATAGGCTTTTTTTTTTAAATGCAGGACATGTGCTAGGTTGTGTATCTTGTTAACCACTACCAGCCAGAGCTCCAAAAAGTAGCAATGGTTTTTTCTACAAACCCTACAGATGGTTAAAAACGACAACAAAACGGACGTGCAAAAGGACGGAAAAAGAAATCCCGATGGCCGCCACGCGAACTGCAAAACAGCAGAGGCTTACGCGCTCCACACAGCTAGCAGCAGCTGCCGTAAGAGCTGACAAGGCAAACATTGTAGAACCCGGCTCCTGGAAGGCGGCGGTGAGCTCGGCTTCCTCTCTGTTTGGGAGAAGGAGGTCAAACCACTGAAAAGAACAGTATCTTCCCTAACTGCAGTGCAAGATCCTGCAGGACTCCACTTTCCCCAGACGTGAGGAGCTACTACTCCCAGAGGCCAATAAACAGCTCGGCAGCAAAACAAAGGCGCCTCCATTCCAGAAGGGGCTGTTGGGCTACAAGAAAACTACTCCAGGCCCTCAGTGTGGCGGGCGGTCTCCTTTGTTTCGTTTCCAGATCGCACCAAAGGAGGAAGAAGGAAGACTGTGCTGGAGAGACGGGGTAATCGGAGTCGGGGTGGGGCGGAGAGGAATGGAACCGTGGCGTGTGCGAGCGCTGGGGGCTGCGATTGCAGTTGCAGCGACTTTGTTGTTTGCAAGCCACCGAAGGACCCACGAGGAGCCCGCACTGCAGCCAGGGCTGGGGGACTCCAGAGCGCCGCCAACCACCTCTGGTTTTGCCCAGCGGCTGGAGCTCTGCGGGGGCGGGCAGGGAGGGGCAGTCCTGCCCTGACTTACGCTCTTGTCCAGCTCGATCTTCACCTTCTTCTGGGAGATGCTCTTCTGGATTCTCTTGCTGAAGCTGGCGTTGCCCGCCGCCCGGCTGCACCGCTCGCCGTCCTCCCGCAGACAGCACAGCTGCCCGGGGCCCGGC